TAGTCGTTCCGTCCAAGCTAATGTGGCTTCGGTTATGTGCTCATACAGTAAGGATTTTCTATGCAGCTTGAACCTTCACTAAGCCCTCTCTAGACAAGATCAATGGCACCTATGCATGCGAGAATGACAAGGTATTGCCTTCATGCTGGGTCTTTACACTTTTATTCACAGTATCGTTTTATCAATCAGGTATTAAACCAACTCTTGAAGAAAGAAGCCAACTTCCCAGGTATTTTCTTTCCTTCTCTTCATCCTTGCCTAGCTCATACATAACGTTTTTCTGTCTAGGCTATGTCATGAGTGGTATGACCTCCTTTCATTGCCTCTGTCTATTGAGCTAAGGTGAAACAGACTGGTGGGCCACCCATAGTACCGTGCAATCCGTTAATGCAGGCCTTGATATGACGATGCCGGGTGACACTGCCTATAATTCTGGACAAACGTTTGTAGTACTCGATCGGACGGGCCCAGAATCTGACATTTTCGCCCCTCAGATATTTCGGACAAGTATTGGTTCAACAAGTTCAGGGCGGAGCAGTCTCACAGTCGCGAATTGATGTTTGTGGAATTGATCACTTGAAGGGGGCAATGCTAAACGTTTTATAGGACCTTGCCACTCGTATTTTGGCAGCTTGGTATTACCTTGGGCAAGACTCTGGATATCCTTCCGTCAACTTTGATAGCTGGAGCTCAAGCAACAGCGGCAATCAGCATGTCAATGTCCAAAGTGATCACAAGAATATCATACGAACCGTCGCTGCTGCAAGTACTGTCCTCCTGAAAAATAAGAACAATGTCCTCCCCCTCAAGAAGCCCACCTCTCTTGCTGTTATAGGTTAGTGTTATGTTGCAAATCACCTTTTCTCTTGACTTAGTCTTCCCACAGGCAGCCATTCCGTCCCCAACCCTTCAGGAATCAACAGCTGTACAGATAGGAACTGCAATACTGGGACACTTGCTCAAGGCTGGTTAGTTTGCCCAATTTGCCAAAGTGCATGACACTATCTCACCTCACTTAGGGGTTCTGGCACTGGCGAATATCCATATCTCTCCGATGCTTTATCTGCTATCAAATCGAGAGCAAGCACTGATGGAACCTCTGTCACTTCAAGCACAAGTGATACAGATACCAACGCCGCTGCAAATGCTGCGCGTGGCAAAACTGCAGCAATAGTGGTTGTGACAGGTTAGTCTACCTGTTAAATCTCGTTGAAATAATACTGATGATATATACAGCTGACTCAGGAGAAGGTACGTAGTATCTAGAGTATCAGGTGGGAGCTAAGTTATACTGGTGCAGGATATATCACTGGTGAGTCGACGAATCACGTATATTGACAAATAATAATATTCTTTCAGTCGAAGGAAACGCTGGTGACAGGTTAGTCCTATGTGATGTGGATTAAGACGGGAAAACTCAAGGGTGTGTAGGAATAACTTGAACCTGTGGCATAACGGCGACGCATTGGTGAGTGTTTTTTTATTCATTTCAGCC